TCTCGAGGATGAGGACGTCGCGGATGCGCTTGGCGTCGAGCGAGAGACCCGGCTGGAACTGAACGATGGCCGCGACGAGCTCGGGGAGGCGAACGACCTCTGCTGCTGGGCTGCGTTTTGGCATCGGTCGGGTTGTGAGATCATCATTTTTGCGGCAAAGTCAAGAATGCATGTAGAAAGGCCAGAATTTGACACCACAACTGATCCATTCGTGCGCTTACGGGGCCTCTAACACGAGCTCCTGCAAGATAGCTACAATATCCTTGGCCGTCGGTCGCGCTTGCGGATCTGAAGCTAAACAGGAGGTCGCCAGGTCGCGCAGCCACGGAAGGCAGTCTGGCCCAAGCGTCGGGCGAAGCGCTCCGCCGCGTACGCCCGCAACGACGTCCCACACGTGTAGGCGCATGTCTGCGTACGGCTTGTGGCGCGCATCGAGCTCCGTTAGAAACACGCCGTACGAGTAAATGTCGGCGGGGAAGCTGTAGCTCGTGTCTTCAAAGACCTCTGGCGCCATCCAACACAGCGTACCAGTGCCGAGCACTCGTGGCGTCGCCTCGTCCACAACCTGTGCGAGACCCAAATGTCCAATCTTAATGGCCCCGTCCGAAGCGAGGAGGACGTTGGCAGCCTTGATGTCGCCGTGGAGGATGCCGTGACGGTGCATGTCCAGCAGCGCGCGGGCCACAGCGTCCGCAACGTCCACCGTGAAGCGCGCGGTAAGCTTGTTCGCTGGTATGTCCAGGTAGTCACGCACAGAGCCGTGATCCATGTACTCAAAGATTGCAACTGGTCGCGGTGAGTCGTTGTGGCGCACGTCCAGCAGCTTGACGAGGTATGGTGACGAGAGCCTAGCACCTCTAATGCAGCAGTACTACTACCATAGAATAGCGCACCGCGATCGAATGTAAAGCTCGTTCCGAAACGCGTCGACTTGAGGCGTACTGTGCGCCAGCTGCACAGCGACGTCGCTGCCGCTGTAAACACCCTTGTACTGCACAAAGCACGCGTCCGAGTCTATGACGGTGTTGGTCACGACAAGGTCGGCGTCGGCTTCGAGTGTCGTCTACGAGGCGTGAGACGATAGCCGATATTCGCGCAGCACACCTCGTCGTCCGAACTCGCCTCGTCGCCAAAGAAAACCACCTCCATCGCTGAAGGGAAATTGTGAATTTGGTGCATTCATCTTCTATCCGCTGTCGCAAAGACACGAATGGCTACTCGGTCGTAGAGGCAGGTGCACAGAGCCGATGCTGAGAAGAGATATAGATTAAGCAGTGTCGAGAAAGACCATACTACACTTGCTTGGCTGCGTGCGCTTGAACCGGCGTCATCGCGGCGTTGTAGTGCACATTCGCGGGATCTTCGACAACAACGATCGGGATGCTCGTGGCTGGCGTCGTCGGCGGTGGGCGGCGGCGGCAGCAGCAGCAACAACCTGCTTTGCAGCACTTGCGGATGCAAAAGGTCGCAAGCGCCGTGATCACAAGCAGGATGAGGACGCTCCAGAACAAACCAAACTGGAAATTGCTCGACGGCTCGTACGCCGGGAGGCTCTGGAGCGCAAAGGTCGAGACGGGCGGCGTCGTCACCGTCGAGATTGAACCTGTGATCGTCGCTGGCAACGGTGCAACGGCGTAAATGTCGCCCGACCCGGACGTGGAGGCTTTCAAGGACTTGAGAGCGCGCGCGTAGACCTTGCCGCTGCCCGAGATGCTCACGGAGTTGGCGTCGCACGCTAGCGCCCCGGCGTTCACTTGGCCGGAGCCCGAGATCGAAATGTCTTGGGTGGCGCAGAATCCGGTGCTGTAAAAGTTGATGGCGCCCGAACCTGAGATGGACGTGGAGACGGTCGTCGCGTTCACGACGGACGACGCGCCGACGTACGCCGTGCCCGAACCGCTCACGGACGACTTGATGGTGTCCATGCGGAGAGTGCTCCCAAGCAGCGCAACGTCGCCGGAGCCCGAGATCGAGAGCTCGGCTCGTGACGCCACGGTGGTGTCGAGGACATTGAACTGGATCAAACCGGAGCCTGGGACCTTGAGCGTCAGGTCTCGCAGCGCGATGGACGGCGCCGAGAGAAAGAGCTGGCCCGAACCCGAAACGACGAGCGAGAGCGCGGCGTCGGTGCTGTTGACAACTGTGAACGGGTCCATGATCGCGCTGCCGGAGCCCGTCATGGTGACGGCGGCGAGCGACTGCGACGGCACATAGACGTCGACAATGTACTTGGTGGAGCTAACCTGGAACGGATTGGCGTACCAAGCGGGCCCGTTGACGCCGAGCACGCCGTCGTCTTCGTCAACGTCAAAGGCGCTGAGAAAGCCGTCGGACTGCGAGCGCACGACGACGGACGCCTTGGTGGCGCTCGTGGCGTGGATGAAGGCCGAGTGTCGGAGCTTGAGACTCGAAAGGCTCGATGACGAGGCGTTGTAGACTTTGGAGGGCCACGAAGCAGTCGTCGATGTCATGATGGGAGGATTGCGAAATGGAAAATGAACCACCTCACAGCATGCTTCTTGTGCGTTGGACATGTGACCGACACAATCACTCTGGCACCCTGGTGGACAGTATACTAGTCTGTGGTTCGTATTTAGGTGACCAACAATCTCTTTTCGTTGGTCGAATATTTTTCAAGTCGAATATTTTCCAGTTGGACTCTGCCGGAGACGGTGTAAACGTGGACACGTCTACATGCGTGCTCGATGGGAGGCTAAAAACTCTGCATTCCATTGCGCTGCCTCGTTCACCTGCAGTCCGCCGCGATTGAGCACGAGATAGCGCGCGCAAAGCCGAGTACTCGTGTACCATGTGACAGTCACCAACTGTCGAGGCTCGTCATTGATTGTGACGTATCAAGACCTTTGCAGTTCACGTGGAAGCGGAGTGAGATGCTGCAGCCTTCGGATCTATTGGAAATCGTTTTCCTTTGATATTGCCTTGCAGCAGCACCATGCCAGCACAGACTGAAGTCCCCGTTGGGACGCTCTGATCGGTCTCTTCTTCGTCAGCCTGCGCAAGGCACATATTCTTGCACCTGTGCTCCATTGGACGCTTACTTGTGGCATTTAATATCCATTTATAAAGGTACGTAGAATCGGCATGCCACATTTACCGTAATACTTGGTGCCTGCGGCTTTCAAAATACGGCATCACAAAATGATCATAAGCAGTGTGCACACACAACCAAGCTCGTCGGTTTGTGGCGATATTTTGAAAAGACACGCGCATTGATTTCACTCTTTTCAAATGCATCGAACGGAGTTGCCATGCGATCCTGGCAGCCCGCAACCACGCTATATTTATACGGTGCGCTCATGTGGCATGTGCCGAAAATAGCTTGACATGGGTCCCAAATGAGGCGAACCTTCGACTCCCGTTGCAATTTTTTAGATAGCGCTGCGTTTCATTGGCTGAAAACCAAAAGCAATTCCAAACATGGCAGGCGTTGATTGGACAACGGATATAGTGTTATATGTGCTGGCGCTATCTAATGCGATGCGAAGCAGGCTGGAGCAGGTGTATGAAGCAGGCATGCTGGGCGATACCAACGCAACAGAGCTAGCTACAATACACAATGCAGTACATGTATTTACGTTAGCTCGTAATAGGCTCGAGCCTCCTTGATCGCTTGCACCCGCTGCGATTTGGCCGAAGCCGACGCCGTCCACCTTCGATGCACTTGGCGTGCGAACGCCGTCGAGATGAACGTCTTCTGACGTATCTGGAACGGATACATGCGCTCGCGGACCACAGGTGGCAACGCAGCAATAAGCCGCGGGTTGAGGGCCGAGAAGGACTTGTGCTTCCGCCCATGAGCAGCGGCAGACGAGCAATCGCGGTGGATGTAGCGACGTGCCTTCAGAAGCATGGTACAGTCGAGATCGACAACCCGTTGAAAGCTGTCGCTCCATCCGTGCATCGAGACGCGGTTGCTGCCACATGACGGGCACTCGATCGGGTGTGCGGCCAAATACGCCGCCGCAAAGGTAATCGGGCAAACAACGACGATCGAGCTCCGAGCGAGAAGAACGTCGGCAGGCGATGCGTTCGAGCTCATGGGCATGGATGGAACGGAAATACATTACATGATAGCACTTACTGCTGGCCTGTTGCTACGGTGCGTTGCGAGCGAGGCAACTTCGCCTTGATCGTGGCCCAGAACGCGTTCGACGCAGCAGCACATGCCATTGAGTGGCTTGCTTGGTGGCGTCGTGGTATCGTTTCGCTCGCCATCTTCTTCTGCCTCGGGAGCGCCTTCAGGTCCGAGCTCGTCTTCAGCGCCGTCGGCGTCGTCGTCAACATCGTGGACATCGCGCGCTCATCGAGTTCATCGACGTCAGGCGGCCGGTCGCCGACGAGTGTCACGCGCCGAATCAAAGCTACCGGTGGGAAGCGCGGCGCGCGTTTTGCACGAAACGCATTCATGCGTGCCATCGGGTAATACGAAGCGCACCTACAGGTCTGGATGGTTTGTCCGCAGCTTGTGGCGCCGACCGGTGAGCTTGGTTGGCGCGGCAGGCGCGGGTGTGGCAGACGCGGACTCAGCAGGCGCGGACTCGGCAGGCGCGGACTCGGCAGGCGCGGACTCGGCAGGCGCGGACTCGGCAGGCGCTGGCGTGGGCTCGGTGCTTCCTAGCCGTCCATCGGTGTGTTGTAGATCTGATACAAATGGCTTGAAATTCCATTTTAGTTAGCGCGGCCAATCAGATCAACTCAATTAGATAGCGCGGCCAGTAAGCATCCGAAATGCATCTAATTGGTCAAAATGCTTACTGTGTGGACCATAAATCGTTTTTTGGCTCAAGAATACAAACAAGCATACAAACATCAAGTCTAATTAGCCAAAGGAGCTCTTCCTGGGAGCCCAGGCCGGAGCACAGACCTCTGTCGTCTTAGAGTAAACGCAATAGACACGTACCCTGTTTTTCGAGTGTTCTCGCTGCTTCCTTCCCTCTTTTTTCTTTTCCTTCATTTCGTCCGTGAGCCAAACATTCTGGCGCTGCAACGTTTATGGTTCATAAGCCCCAAATGACGTGGAATCCGAACGACGCCGCGATGGCTCTGTGTGTCCTTGGCACCGCCGAGCTGGTTTCTGCGATCGCGAGCTTCCAGCGCGGGCTCCACGGCGACACGCTCGACCTCCTGCACGAGCTCGACGTCGTCGAGATCCCATTCGTCTCGGACGCGAGCCTCGTTGCCATTGCGGAGGCCCTTGCGAGCGCCTTTGCCAGCGTCCACCGCGCCTTTCTGCCATGGCTCGCTCGCCGCGGCCAGGCACCGCTCGCGCACGTCTGCCACGTCAAGCACCTCCGCCACGAGCTCCTCTACTTTGCGCTCGCGTACGGCCGCGTCGACATCCTGCAGCACCTCGCCAATTCGGCGCGCATTCTCTTGTCGCCTGCGCGCCTCCAGTCGCTCGCGTCCTCGGTGGCACTCGCATCGTCCGAGGTCCCGCATGCAATGCTACAATCGATGCGCAACGGGTTCCGGCCGCTGCGCATCGACGTGTGCCGGAACGCGCTTGGCGTCGCCTGCGTCCAGGGGCACCTGCCGCTGGTGCAGCACTTGCTCGAGCACCGAATGACGGGACGGGCATGGGAGCCATCGGACGCCGTGGCAATCTGCTCGAAAGGGCACCTCGACGTCGCGCGATACCTTTGCGACCACGCGTGCGCTGGCTTTGGCGCTGACGCCGCCGCAGCTGCCGCTGGAAACGGCCACGAGGATCTGCTCGTGTTCCTCCTCCGCCGCGCCATAGACGATAGCAGTGTCCTTGACGCTGCGCTGGTTGCTGCCGCGAAATACGGCCGCGTCGACGTGCTTGCCCGTCTACATGTGGCATCCTATGACGTGGCGACGGCAGCGATTCCCGCCATCACATACGACCAAGTGGGCATCCTGCGCTTTCTGCTCTCACATCAAAGCGACGGCGTGCCTGCCCAAGCGCTGGAACACGCGGCGACGCTCGGACGCCTGGATGCGGTGCAGCTATTACACGAGTATGGCCTTGTTAGCCGCCGACATCAAGCGCTTCTCGCCGCCGTCGCCAGCGGGCACGAGCCCGTCGTTCGGTACTTGTACTCGGTCGCGGCGTCCGACTTGAACACGGCAGCGGCTATCAAAGAGGCCAAGCGAGCCAAGCACCGAGAGGTTCTGCGCTATCTCAAGACGCAACGGGCGAACGACTGCCGCGTCCAATGACGTGAAAGATACCATGAGTATATAGTCGATGCATTGTATGTTCAGTACTGTAGAGCTTAATGAGGGACATTCAATTTCTTTTATCTCGGCAGGTAGCAATGTACTGCTACAGTTGAGCCCAACGGGTTCACGGCCCACTGCCCTAGTCCCACCCAAACCTCTTCCTGGAACATTTTCCAAGAAATATTTTAGCCAATCAAAATCAAGGATTTCTGAGCGATCCACCTGAAATGGCCAGCGTCCTGCGCTGCCCCGACCTCGTCCGCGCCATCGTGGCCTACCAAAGCGGCGTCCACGGCGACGTGCAGCCGCTGCTCCGCCTCCTCTACAGCGTCTGCTTGCCGCGGCCAGTGGCGCCGAGCCTGCTCGCCTACGCCCGCGACCTTCGCGCGGCCTACGCCGCCTTCCACGACGCGTTTGCCCGCATGGACGGCGACTGGCGACGGCTCTTGGCGACGCCCAAGGCCAGCGACGCGATGATGTATTACGCGATCGTCTTTGGCAACGTCGCGATTCTCCGGCACCGCGACGCTGCAGGCGCGCCATTCTTGACACCCGTCGACGACGCG